AGCACCATGTTTTAACCCTCCAGGGCAATGCACTCTAAACAATTTAAAGTATGTGGAGTGAGGAGAGTGAATAAAACAAGTAAGCCTATATTAAAGAATGATGAAAAAGTATGAAAAAATGAAAATGGGGAGTTCAAAAATATTAGTACAAAATCTTAAAATTATCTTGTTTTTTAGATTTTTAAAAATCAGCATTTTTATATTTTATAGAAATGATATTAGATCTTTTAAAAATGTAAGTTTTTTGTTACCATCCATCACCATCCAATATACCCCTTCTACCCATGGTTCCCACCCAAACACTCTCCTCTGATAACTTCCATTTTGTTGTAAGAATGTAAGTTGTTTTTTTTTTTTAATTTGGTGCAGTTTTTTTGTTTGTTTGTTTGCTCTGTTTCATATGAGTGAAATCACATGCTTTTAAAAAAATTTTACTTGTTTCATTTAACATAATTCCCTCAAGGTCTGTCCATGTGGTCAAAAATGGCAAGTCATTTAGAGTGGCCAAATTTCTGAGCTCAATTAACATATTCAGACCTGCTTTATGGATGAAAGACTACTTTCCTGGTTTTTTTTGTTCTTATGTTACATTATTTATGATTGCATTTGGAGAAAAAACATACTTTTTTTTTTAAACCCTTTTGTTCATGCTTACTCTGACCAAAGTTGACATTGTCAAGCAAGAATGTAAATGTGTAAATGTGCTTATCCCATGGTTAGATTATTTAATGATTAATGTTTCTCTTTTTTTTAAGATTTATTTTTTATTTATACAATAGCTGGGCTACAGGCCAGAGGCGCAGGAGGGTGAGAGGATTCACCAGAGACAGAGTGGGGAGCAGAACAGGCGGACAGACCGAAGGCACTGCTGAGAGGTGCAGTGGGCGCAACAGGAGAGGTCCGCCATACCATGTAAGAATCTCCCTGGCCAGCTGGGAATGGAACCCGCACTTGAGAGGCTGTGTACAGCTTCATAGTGCTGTGCTAAACCCTTTGTGCCACCAGAGAGGCCCAATAATTAATGTTTCTGACAGATCAGGGCAGAGCCAAGTCATATTTATAGATGGCTCTTACATAGTGTGACTTAAGGAGGCTCCAAAGTTGTTCCCCCTGTTGGCCTGCTATGGTGCCAACCTTTCCACCCATCTGACCAGAAATCACCCTGTTTTATTCAGTTCCTTTCTTTGATTTATGTAACATGTGCATTATCCACTATTAGAAATCATATATGTTATGTAGGTTGATAGGAGTTTCTAGAATTACTTCTGCTCTGCAGAATAAAATATTAATATTATAAATATTATTATAATAAATATTATCAAATTAATTCACCATCTCACTGAGAGACCCAAAGGTCTCTTTCTGTTCTGGAGAATACAAGATAAGAAAAATTGAATGTAATGGGCAGAATCACAGGTTGTTGGATCTGGTAAGATTTTAGAGTTAATTTACTTAATTGCTTTGCAGGTGATCAGAAGCATAAGTGATTAACACTAATGGAAAAACTGGGATTAGATGACTTGTGGTATTTTCTATGTTTGAGCTGTAAAATATTACACATGACATGATCAAGTAATACATAGCATATTGACCCTACAAAGATGATTGTTGGGGGGAGGATATTGGGAAGAATAAATAGACCACAGGATGGGGGAAGGAGCCAAGATAAATACTCAGAAAAGAAACTGTTAAATACTAGTCCAATAAAGTCTGATGAATATTGCATAACTAAGATAAGGCTAAATTACTGCATATTCATTGTCACCATTTGCCTTCAGTGTATAGTTTTAAGTCTAATACTTGGTTTTCACTTAAATTATCAGTTCACTGTGGTAAGTTTCAATTATTTTATACTTTCATTATCAAATATGTTTTCATTCCACAATAAAATTCCACATTTTAAAATATTCCACTAATTATATTTTAATGAAATAACAGTTTTCCAAGTTTATCAAAGGATTTCTCTGAAATAATTATGACATTGACAATAATTAATCAAATCACCACGAATATATCATCAATCTTCTTCTAGAGTAAGTATATAATTTATTAGGTTTCCATTACTACTTTCCACAACCCCATGGAATGTAATTAGCCTAGATTTGAATTTATCAAAATGTTGGATCTCATTCTAACTTTTGGATTGAAGTTTTAAGAAATCATGTTTATTCCTTCAGTATACTATTTTTTTCCTCAAGTACTATGGGGAAATTCTTCATTTGGCACTAATGTAGGTCAGAGTAAAGGGTAGAGATTGTTATAGAAGAAATTAAACTACCTAGTCTCTTAATGAAATTTTGAATATTGTGCCAAAGTATAGAAGGCAGATAAAAGATTTTATAAAATATAAGTTCATTTTCCTGCCTATATATTTAAATTTTCCTGTGCTTTTTCCCCTTTACTACAGCATCTGTAACAACTTATTTTAATGATCAGCTGTCTGAATTTATACTCATTTTTCATCATGACTTTGGAATGTTATATGTTATTGTATTGGAAATTATTTTCTAAACTATATAATGGAAGTGAATCCAAAAAAAAAGTTGTAACTGCATTGTTTCACAGAGGTTAAAATTCAAGGAAAATATTTGAGGTAATAGTAATTAGGAACTAGGACAGCATCCAAAATGGTATTTTCATGGAAAATCCAATACAAATCTTGATTAAAACCCAGCGAAGCAAAACACTGCAGATTACCTGGATTCCAATTAAATGTGACAAAGGAATACTTGACAGGTTTCAATTCCAATTCTATTTACGTCAGAATGATCCATTAATTTTGAAGATGAAATTACCAGAATTCAGGCAATACAATTGCACTTTATGGCTAGATACTAGTCTGAAAACTTGGACCCAACAAAACTTACTTAAATGTCAACTGCTACATTTGGATCAGCCCAAGTGAATCACATCTCCTTCTGTCATTACCTATAGATCTGAGCTAACATGAATCACAGCTAGCAGATGACAAATGGTTATATAAACTCTGAATTTCAAGTGTCAGTCACACATAAATCAGGAAAAATCAGTTATATTATGATGGTACTTGCTGTTGACAGGATTGGAGACATGGTTATAAAAAAATAACTAAAAGACTTCTTTGGAAAATTTTTCTCAGAAAACTTTCTGTTCCCTTGAGCTCACCTGTTAAGTTTTCCGTGACATATGTTTCCTAAAAATGACATATATATGTTCATCATATATAACTATATTTATTTATCAATTCTTATCTTGCAGGCACTGAATCCCTACAAACTCACAAAACAGGAAATAACATTAATATCCTTTGTGTTAATATAGCTCACATTAAAAAAAAACAATTTAATTATACATGTTGTTTGAAGTTAGAATAAGCATTTACACTTTTAAAAACAAAAATAAGATTATATATCCTCAAAAGGTAATCACAGATATAGTACTTCCCTTGAATTAAATTATTCTTGCCTTGCTAGGTATATATATTTATATATTATGTTTGTGTACATGTCAGTACACAAAAATATTGGATATATGGGTATCATATAAATATATTATTACAATATTTTAATTTTTTTTTATTTTTGTGGAAAACATTTCAAACATATGCCTTAAAATATATTAATCGACATTTCAATTCATACCAAATTTCAATATTCATTAAAAAATATATTTAAAAGTTAATTCTTGAAAACCACATCAAACTCCCATCCACATAAGCACACACCACCATACACACAGATAAGCATGCCTTTATAGCCATGAGGCAAAATGCCATTTATTCTCTGGATACTTATCAAAAGGGGTATCAATCATTAAAGCCTATATCATATCTTCTCACCCAAATAACATTGTGGAAAAATAATAATTTAACATGATTTAGCTTAGCAAAAATTTCACTTGGGGTCATTTATGATATATTACTCTCTATTGTTAGATTTTAATATTCATAGGTAAATTTCCAGGAAAAAAAAATCAGCTTTTTCTTGCATTAATATGCTCTAGTGGCATATCATCACTAAATAAACTGGTGTATAATAAAAAGTTAGAATGTCTTATTTCATTTGGGGATAGGATGGTGAAAGACAAAAATACGTTTTGATATTCACGAAAGATAAATATGTTTGATTCCTCTTCCTGCACCTTCACATATCCAAATCTTTTTAAATTTAAAATATTAATAAAGCTATTAAGTTCTTTACCATTCCATTATTTAACATAAACCTATTCCTCAGACATATATTCGTCACCTAAAATAAAAAAAAATAAATCAGCAGTTTGTCTTTGGAAACATAAACAAATGTGAATATTTATAAATATTACTTCAATATAGTTTTATAATTAAAGTGTATGTAAAGGAAAATTGTGGCAATTATGAGAATCTACGCACAATAGGATAAGAATAAAGAACACTATGATTTGCTTTCCTCCCTTTTCATTATACAAAAATGAGAAGAGATTTATACTTAAAGATTGGGAAGCTAACAATGTTTATAATGTACTTCGGAGAACATGTTCTACCACTCTCCTTTGACTTCATTTCAGCAAGTCCTGAAAAGGAGAGGTTCAAAAATATTTTTCTGAATACCCAGGAAAAGAAAGAGTAGAACAAGGCATGGTAATTATCATTTCCCTTCACTGAGAGTGGACAATTGCAATTGAAGAAATAGTTGCATGACAAAAATGAAAAGAAAAAAACAATAAAACAAGACCTTTCTCAGTGGCTATTGTTTAGGCATTAGGCACTGATTTATTTTGTCCCTAGCTGGTACTATTCTGATTTATTTGTAAATGTGTTTATTTTTGACAGGCTGTTTTTAAATGATGATGCAATTTTGGTGCATTTTATCTACATATTTATGTTCCTTTATTTGGCATTTCTGTACTCTTGTGAATATTTAGGCTTTAAAATAAAATAGTTTTAGTGTCAGCTATTTTATTTTGCGTTTTGACTGACCTTCGCAAGTCTACTTATTGCGGCTCACTAGCGTGATTATGTGTGTGGATGTTGTGTTTGCCCCTACCATTTTCCATATGCTCTGCCTCACCAACACTGCCATCCGGCGTGGTCCTTTCATAGTTGTCCTCTGGGAGTGGAAGGGCACCCAGTCTTGGCCCTGATGAACTCTTACTGCTTGGTGTTTCTGACTCCTCCAGCCCGCTGTCATAGCAACTCTGCAGTGACCCCTGATGTGGGTCCTGAGGCTGACTCACAACAGAAAACGTCACTCTACGAAATGGCTGCAAAAGAAAAGATTCTGAATGTCACTAAGATAGAAGATTGTCAAGGATCTTATTAAATACATCAGTTACATACATTAAGGATTACTGACAACTAATTCAATACAAAATGGTCAATGTGAGTATATTGAGATCTCTTTGGTTAGCTCTGAATTATCACAAACAATGCCTAGAGCTTAGATTTTTTATGGAAAACTGAAAATTCCTTTTGGGAAACAGAAATAAGAAAACAACAATTTCAATAAAACACACATTGAAAACAGAGCTAGTTCCAAATATTCAAACCTTTCCTATCCTGTAGTCTTCAATTCAAATGTTTTTCATAACGTTTCAAAACAAATGTTCCCCCCCCCGAAAATAAGGGTCAGTGATTTTGAAATGCAATAAATATTGAATGAATCCATTATAAGAGGACTTCATTTTTAAATACATTGTCCACATGATATAATGTGTGAAAATCAAGTGTCCTGGCAGGTGACTTAAACTGTGAAAGTTACAGTTAATAAATACAACTTTTGAGCAGTTCTAAAAAAAAAAATCAGAATATGTTTATTACTCCATACATATTAAAAAGTATTACCTATTGACTTTGAAGTTGTAAGGTTAATACTGAAATAATAGACAAAAATTTCCTTAATCAGTTAATATAAAATAAATATAAAAGTTTAATTTTATATACTTACTATGATTATAGATTTTTCCATAAAACTAAAGGTAATGCCATGTATAGTCCTTTAGTTGAATTTTAAAAATACCGCAAGTATTTATTCAATTAGACTTTACATTTATTATGCCACTGGTGTTAGCCAGACTAAAATTTCTTATGTACAGAATTTACATATTGTCATAGCTATAAAAAAAAATTGGCTCATTAAGGGAACTAACTGATGCCTTGCATTGACAATGCTATATACACATATTTGAACAAACAATATAAAAAGAATCTGTAATATCTGAGATTATTCTTGACAATATTTATATTCATTATGTCACTGTATGATTTGAAAGTAGCAAAAATATACAGGCTTTAAACCTATAATTCAGACTGGTTCTTTCTAATATAAAGTATAAAATTAATGTTACCAGAAAATGATGGGCAAGGTAAAAAACTTTCTCGTACTTTTATTACTTAAATACTAATGGTATAAATCAAGACTCACAATTGGGACCAGTAGAAATTTTTTAAATATTAAGGCTTATCTGCACATAGTAAGTTAATAATGGGTATACTAGAAGATTTGTGACACTTCCCCCAAATATATAAATTGCCTTGCTAAAGACAAATGCATGCTTCTAGAATGTTCCCTTTATTTTGTTTCAAATAGAGGATTGGTCAAGAACATAGTCCATTATTGGTATTTGTAGTACAATACCTCACCCTCCACATTTATTTGGAGTATACAATCTTTATAAAATCTTATTTTATATTCTAGTTCAAAAGGAAACTTTTAGAACTGTTGGATCACATTGTAAAGTGAAAACATTTGAAGCACATTCTCTATATAATGCTTCACTGAACTGGGACTGTAGTATTATAAAAAGAAATCACAAGATATTTCTAGTATAAATAGCATATATGTTAAAGTATACTGGTAATAAACTTTCAGGAATACTATCCTTATTTCACTAATAATTCTCATAAATCTTTACAGTAGTATTATTGAGATATTTTGCATTATGTCAAGATAAATATTGAAATAATTTTATATTTACCATGATTTATATATTGCATGTGCATATTTTCTTTAATTTTATTTTTTTCATTTATTGCTGCCACTTGATGACAAAAGATTTATGATTTGGTTTATGTCTTTGGTTCCACTTTGGGAATGAGACAACTTACAGTCTTCTAAAACCATATTAATTTGGACACAGAAATATCCCATGTATCAGCAAATACTACTTAACATGGACATTTTAATGACAATGTTAAATTTAGGAAACAGCATCAAGGGTCATGTAGACATATCACATCAAGATATAACAATGGGTTTAAATATATATACAGAGAGAAAAGTGACAAAAATGAAATATTATGAAAATAGAATTCCATTTTCTTATACAAATAAATAGCAGAGAGAGTGATATTTGATGGAGATAATAATCTAAGAATCTGTGACTAACGCTGGTTCAACCAAAAGTTATGCTAAATTAGCAGAGAGGGAGTAAGCTATATTTGCAGTGAAAAACATTGCCAATAAAATAATTATTTTTCTATACTTTATTACATAATAATCACTACCAATCTGTGCATTTTGTTTTCTTGATTCCTCTTTTACTTTGAATATGAATGGATATAATATAATGATGGAGAGGGAAATGTAATTTTAAAATACTAAGGTATATTTCAATTTTACCAAACACTTAGCTCCATAAATGCTGCTTTTTTGCATAGAAAGCTTTTCATTTAAAATAATGTCTGGAAGTTTTAAAAATAATTCACAATTAAAATCCAAAATAAAGAGTATCACACAATGGATTTTGAAATATCACATGTGTCATTTTATTCACATTTAAAATAGTCCATTCAATTCATATTTATTATCAACATTATATTACTATGTTTATAAATCTGTTTTAATAGATTTATAAATGTGATATAAATTATTACAGAATCGTAAATTTGGAACAACCCACGATTCAAGAATTATACTGCCAACTTTAATTCCATTAGTAAACTGATGTAGATTTAGCTAGATAGTAGATAAATAGATAGATAGATAGATAGATAGATAGATAGATAGATAGATAGATAGATTTATAGATAGATAAAGAGAGAGAGAGATACTTAGCCAGACAAAAATTTACACACTATCCTTCATAATCAGGTGGTCTATTGGGAAGATAGTTAGGTTTTTATAGCAGAAGTTGTAACACAGAATTCATATTATTTATACATTCCAGAAATATTGACCAATTCAGAAATGTAAAGCAGTGTGTCAGCTGTGTCACATGAAGACACTGGTGGAGAGGTCTGAACTTTGTATTTTTCTGTCTAGCATGATAAATGATTTTTTGTCCTGCAAAGGCAAACTGGTCTATCTAAAATAGGAGAAAGTAAGAACTGTTGGAGGCAAAGGACTATGTTAAGAAAGGGTGGTCTGTGGGTCTATGGAGAAGCTGCCATGAGAAGGGACAGTAAAGTCATTATAATGCAAGCCTGTGAGTAAAATGGAATTCTGTCATTATTTTCTATCTACATTTATGTTGCACCCATAATATCTCAGGGTTTTAAAGATATTCCAACAGTGATTCTATACATTTAAGAAAGTCAAAATCTTGGTGGTATGTTAAAACAGACAAAATACAAAATGATCGTTTTTTCAATGAAACAGAAGAGCAAAAGAGTTGTGGAATGTGCTTGGGAAAGTAAGCATTGCAATAGAAGGGTTTTGCGGTTGACACCTCTAAAAGAAACCTGACATTCCATCTTTTTTGAGGGTAGTTTATAGATTTCATATTTGGGACAGCAACAAAGGATTAAAAAGAGGATGGTTAGGAAAACAGGGTCACTTTTGAAACTGTGAAACCAAGGAAGCTGATCATTTCTGGAAAGAAACAAAATCCTATATGACCAGAGGCTTGAAAGACATGGAGACTAATGCCGACTACCATATGTTCTCTAGATATACTACACCCATTAATCATTTTTATTGTAAAATCTCTAACTTTGAGGAACAATAAGGAGACCAGACAGAAGGAAGTTAAAAAAACAAAAACAAAAAAACCTGACATGTAAATATGAGGAGAAATAAAGTAGAAATACCTTACTAATTTTAAAAATATAACATGAGATATGTGTTTGTAGTTAAAAAGAGTAGTGTAAGACATTATGTTTATGTTTGTATTTCTTCACTATTATTGAAAAAAAATTCTTTATGGTAAACATTTGAAGATAATTACCAAAAGTTGTGTCTGCTAAAATAAGATGATGGGAGATGAATGAAATCATAGAAGTAAACTAATGGAATTAAAAGAAATGAAATAAAATTAAATACAGACAGTAGAGCAGGCTGGAAACAGGAATATCATGTATGGATTGTGTTGTGTGTGTATGTCTGATGTGTAATAAAAAAAAACAGTATATTAAAAATAATGAGAAAAGACAATGATTCTATTTCAAGCAACCCTTTAGATTCTTTATCTGACCAATAACAAGCAAGCTGACTCTGGGTTCTTGTGCCCTAGGCTCAGGATCTGAACAATGGCAATAATAATACCTACCCTTACTAGCCCAACTTGTCAGAGAAATAATGATTTTGTAAAAAGATCTTTAGGCTACCTCAAAGCCATATACTATAAAAGGTATTATACCTGAGGCGGTAGCTATATCACTGAAATTACCCCATTATGTTTTAGGACATATATTTATTTTTAATGTAGAGTTTGACCATTGGTTCACAAAGTTTATAAATAGAAAAATCCATATATTTCAAACCTAATTTCTCTATTAATGGACTAAATTTTTTTTCTATGTGCAAAGTACTTGTGTAATAAATATTTACATACATAAGCATTCCATTTTCCAAAAAGTATTTGAATTTAATCATCCAGGGGTATGAGTATTTCTATATTCAATTTCTTTAGAATGGCACTTAATGACTTTTTTTCTCCACTATGATGAACTGCAGACTTTCCCTGAAAGACATACTCTACTATAGAGATTAAAGAGATATTTTAGAGGCTGTTATAAATACATTCAAGAGTTAATTGCAGATAATGTACAACCCCTGGGATGTCTCCCTAGGTTCCAGCTGATAGAAATACATGAGTTGACACTGATTTAAATTACTCTAGACTTAGGACCAACACCTTCTACTCTTCATATAATTGTATTCACTTTATTTTTGGAAATCTAGATGTAACATTAGAAATGGGCAAAGGTGTTAATGAAGTTCTCTACATCTTTGTTGGACCTCTTGTTGTGGGACCCTAAGGATGGCTGCCTGTTAGCACCCTCCCATACTCATTGCAAATACTGCTGAGCCCATGGTGAGGAA